CCCCTAAAACACTGGGAGTTGGGTATGGTGGTGCATGGCTGTAATCCCAACATGTGGGGCACTGAGGCAGGAGCATTTCAAGTTCAAGACCAGCCTGGGCTACATAGTGAGACCCTGTCTCAAAACACACAAAACCAAAATATTTGGTGACACTGAGTTTCGGTCCAACAGTACGTAAAAGTTTGTTATCTTTGCCTAAAATGTCTGAGGATGCTGATGAGAGAGATCCTAGATGTTGTTAGTACCTTCAAGGGATTTATAAAACTCAGAATAAAAGGCATGTTACAGGGCTGGGGAGATAGCTCAGTAGAATAAGCGTTTGCCTGGCAAGCGCAATGGCCTGAGTTCAGTCCCCAGTTCTGCCAAAATAAATAAGTAAATAGTGTGTTACAATGTTGTTATCTATACTGTAAGTTTGAGAGCGTATATGACATAAGCAAGTGCCCCAGCCAGCACAGTGAGTGAAAGCTGTGGAGCGTAGAATTGTCTGAAGATTTTTTTTTCTTTTTTGGCTGAACCGGGGATTGAACTCAGGCCCTAGCGCTTGCCAGGGAAGCACTTATTCCACTCAGCCATCTCCCCGGCCTGTCTGGAAGATTTTAGGAGGTGACTGTGCTTCTCTACCCTCGTCCCATACTAGGAACAAACCCAGGGCTTTTTCACTGAGCTAAATCACAGTCCTTTTTTGACACAGGATCGTGTTGCTCAGGTAGGGCTAATGCTTGCCATCATCCTGTCTCTGTCTCCCTCAGAGTGCTGGGATTATAGGTCTGCAAACTGTGTGCTGCATTTGCCTTTGACTGTGCTCTGTATACAATTGTATAATCTGAAGACTAGGTGAGCTTTTTTCTCTTTAGTTTTGGTTTTTCAAGGCAGGTCTTACTATGTAGCCCAGGCTGGCCTCAAACTCGAAGCGATTCTCCAGCCATAGGCTCCTGAGTGCTGGGATTGTAGGCATGTGCCATCATGCCCAAGCAGGTGAGATTTTGACTAGCAGGAAATTATGAGAGGCTGACCTCAATTCAGAGAAAGAATGGTTACTGCACAAATGTAAGAGCTCCATAGGTGTGGGAAGTGCAGCAAGCATGATAGCATGGGTTAGTAGACGGGGCATGACTGAAGAAGTCTGCAGAGAATAGTAGGAAAAAAAAAGAAAATGTACAAGGATTCTAGTATTTGCATAGAAATTCCATATATGGCAAGATAGGGCTAAAAAAACCAAAAGATATTGCTAAAAGCCTGGGGTAAAGGGCCTGCTTAGGCAGATGCAGGGGCCGGAAGTTTGATCCCCTGGCCTGCTGTGCCAGTCCTGCCTCTGAGGCAAGCTGAGGCAGTGATTGCAACTGGGCGTGGTGGTGCGTACCTGTAATCCCAGCACTCGGGAGGCTGTAAACAGGAGGATCACTACAAGTCCGATCTACACAGTGAGACCCTGTAGACCCTGTAGACCCAGTCCTAAAATACAAAAAAAAAAAAAAAAAAAGCCTGGGGTAGCCAGGGATATGGCTCAGTGGCATAAGGTCCTGAGTTCAATCCCCAGTACAAACAAACAAAAGCCTATAATCCCAACACTTACGAGGCTGAGGCAAGAGGATCACTGTGAGTTTGAGGCCAGTATGGGCTATTTGGTAAGTTCAAGGACAGCCTGAAATACATCATAAGACCTTACCTTAAAATAAGGACCTAAGGGGCTGGGGAGATAGCTCAGTTGAATTAGTGCTTGCCTGGCAAGTACAACGGCTTGAGTTCAATACCTGGCTCTGCAAAAAAAAAAAAAAAAAAAAATAAGGACCTAAAATTGTCTATAGTATGAAATGTCAGGCTGGAGTTTGTACTTATAAGCAAGAAGGAGTCTTTCAGTATAATCACAAGATGAAACTGTCCTGTTAGAAAAACTACTTACCGGGACCAGAGAGATGGCTCAGTGGAATAAGTGCTTCCGTGGCAAGTGCAAGGGCCTGAGTTCAATCCCTGGTTCCGCAAAAAAAAAAAAAAAAAAAAAAAAAAAAAGAAAAACTACTTACCTGGTTGTATACAAGGCAATCTGGTAAAGATCTGGACTAAGGAAGTAGTGCTATGAATTGGATGAGAAAAATAAGTATTTTGAAGAAAATGCTTTGTTTCAGTGATAATTTCATATAAGAAATAATTCAGAACTTACAGGTTTTAAGTATAGTTGGAAAATGGTTAACCAAAATGACAACTATGAAGGTTGGGGAGATAGCTCAGTAGAATAAGCGCTGGCCTAGCAAGTGCAAGTTCCTGAATTCAATCCCCAGTACCACAAAGAAAAAAAAAAAAAAAGACAACTGTGGGGAACAGAGTGGTTTGGGAGGAAGTTATAAACTTGGTGTTGAACAAGCTGAATTTATGCTGATTTCCTTAAAAGAGAACTGTCGGAAACGAAGCTGAAATAGGTCAGGACTTTTCTTTTTTGGTACCAAGACTCAAATCTAGGGCCTCATGCTTGCTAGGCAGGCACTGCACTGCTGAGCTCATCCCTAGGCCAAGACTAGAGTTTTATTTATTTATTTTTGGTGGCCGTCTCAGCCCACCCGGGGGGCGGGGCTGGAGCAGCATGTGGTGCTGGGGATCAAACCATGGTCCCTGGGCACTTGCCTAAGCAGGCACTTTAGACCGCTGAGTTATCTTACCAGCCCCTGAGACTAGAATTTTAAATGCAGAGTCACAGCTAAGAAATTAAATGAGGAAAAAAAATTTAAAAAGAAAGTAAATGAGGGACAGGTATGGTGGCATGTTTCCGGGAGGCAGGAGGATTTCAAGTTTGAGCCTAACTGGGACTAAGACCCTGTTTCAAAAAAAAATTTTTTTTTTTAATTTTATTTGTGTGTGTGTGTGTGTGTGTGTGTGTGTGTGTGTGTCTGGTCAGCTCAGCCCACCAGGGGGCGGGGCTGGCTGGCATGTGGTGCTGGGGGATTGAACCCTGTTCCCTGTGCTTTGCTAAGCTTGTTCTAAGTAGGTGCTTTAGGCCACTGAGCCATCTCACCAGCCCCCAAAATTTTTTTTTAAAAATTTGTTTAAAGGCTTAGGATGTATCTTAGTGTAAAGGCCCTGAGTTCAATACTCCATACCACAAAAATAAATAAACCTAGTGTAGCACATGCCTATAATTCCAGAAGTCAGGAATGCTGAGGCAGCATGATCACTAATTCAAACCCAATCTGGACAATTTAAAGATTTAGCAAGGCCAGATATGGTGGTGTATTCCTATAATTCAAGTACTACTTGGAAGGCTAAAGCAGGAAGATCCCTGTGAGTTCAGGGCCAGTGTAGGCTACAAAGTTCAAGGCCATCCTGAACTGCATAGTGAAACCTTGTCTAAAAAGACAAAAAAAAAAAAAAAAGACAAGAAAAATAAATTTAAGCATCAGGTGCTCCCCTCTGTAGACCAGTTGAAATCAACAGTTCAGTTATCCAGGCCATACTGTGTACATACATAAATATATCTCTCCCCCACCCCCCTGTCCTTTTTTTCATCCCAGTTCTTCCTTCCCTTTGAGTATTCTTTCCCTTTCACAGCAACTATTGTACCTTTCGATTTTATTTATTCTTTCAGGTTCTTACACTACTAAGACAATAAGCACATGTGGATCTGATTTTTTCACTTGCAAGTATGGCCTCTAGTTGCATCCATTTACCAATAACAACCTCAAATTTATATTTTTTATAGTTGAGTAATACTTCATTGTGTAAAAATACCACATCTTTTTAATCCATTCCTTGGTTGATGGGAATTTAGGTTGTTTCCAAGACTTAACTATGACAAATTGCACTGCTATAAACATTGGGACACATATATCACTGTGATACAATGTTTTTAATTCATTTGGAAAAATATTCAGTATGGGAATACCTGAGCTGAATGGGACTTCCAATGCTAGCTTTTTGAGAAAATTCCAAACTGATTTCCATAATGGTTGTACCAGTCTACACTCCCACCAGTAGTGAAGGGTTCCTTTT